GTTTGCTCTCTGTGCCTGGATTGATGTTTTTGGTGAGTGGACTCCCCAGAAGCTAATTTACTTAACGTTGCTGACAACAAAGAAAAACTTGTTACAAAAAAAAAAACTAGCTGGCAGAAGTTTTATTGATTTTGTTTTAGGTATGAATTGAATTATTACAGCAGACAAGCTCACGTTGTCACATTCATTTATTTCCAAAGTTTTCACCTGACAAAAGTCACTGCTTATCAGCTACTGTGAAAGGAGGTTGTGTGGTGAATGTTTCCATTATATTTGCCATATCCATTTTCATTTAATTCTTTCTTCGAATGCATACATCATACAGATATAAAGGAAATAAATGTATTTGTCTCAGAAATACGTAATGGTACATAAGCTTCACGTAATATTAAAAGAACAGAATAAAGAGAGAAAGAACTCAGATTTAGCATCTAAAAAAGGGGTTTTACAGCAGAAGCTTCTGCTAATGGACACAAACAATAGTAAATACAGTTATTCTGCCAAAACTGATAATGAGACAAGAGCACACCTTGTTTGGTTGTGGATGTCAGGATATTGAGGTGGACACATCCTTGAGGTATGAGGAGGACATCTGGCCCACTTGAACTATATCTGAAACAACATGGCTATTATCCGTAGAGTCCTGGCTAAATTTCACCTTGGGCTTGTGCACATTGGCCCCCCGATATTCCCCCGTTTTTCCACTGGTTTCTACTGGTGAAACGATTTCTCACTTCTGCACCTGAGTGGGGCCACTCAAGGTGGAGAAAATGGACAACAGTACTAGAAGGCAAATTGGCTTCTGAGAAAACTGGTGTCCCTTCCAGGGTGTATCCCGCCTAGTGCCCATCACTTGTCAAGATAGGCTCTGGCTCCCTTGCTACCTAGTATACGATGAAGCAGTTAGAAAATGGATGGATGGATGGATATATAGTATTTGCATCAAACACTTTGGGTTTTTGGCCAGAATACGTTCATGTGCCAGATGGTCCTATGCAGTTCAGAATGTCTTCACAAAATTTCTCAAGGCCAAGGTTCCCTGTGGATGCACTGCACATTAAAGTGTATTATAGTATATGTTGCTATTATATGTATAGTATATACAGTATAGTATATGATTAAAGAAATTCACCAGTCTGCTTATCATATTGATCTGGAGTCCATAAAATGGATAGGGAAACATCTGCCATTGTAAAAAATACTTTTTGGTCCTAAGAACACATTTTACTTGATTAAAACATGCATCCCTCTAGTTTTATAATCTTTGGTGAGTGGAAGTACTATATGTAGCCACTTGGATAGGATTTACCAGCTTTTTTCAGGATTAAATATCTACATCAAATCTCCACAAAGGCATTCAAGGATAAGAATAAAAAGTGACACAGTCCTTTACACCTTCCTCTGTACGACGTGTCCACTCGGGACGTTTCTGTTATGAGCACGTCTGCTGCCAAGGCAAGTCTCAGATTACTGTGAAATGGCAGCTGTGCGTCTGTTAGGTGATGTTGAAACTCTCTGGCTGTTGTACAAGGTTTTGTAATTTCTTTTTGTCACGTATAGAGAAAGAATGTAGTCAGCTCAGATGTTCTTTATTATTGTTACTGTTCCCTTGTGTAACAGTTAATTCAGCAGCTTATACAGCTGTAGTGTTTACGGTATGCTTGAAGACCTCTTAATAGAACTCCCCCTTCCCCGTGACTGTGTTGAAAACCTGGTCCATTTTCTCTGAAAATTAGCTGCAGCGCCATAATGTTGAGGGCAAACCCAGGCAGCTAACCAGTCTTCCAGAATAAGGTATCAGGCTCCACTCAGAGCACTGAATGTCAGTCTTATACATTTTTATAGGTGGGCTTGTGGGTCGATTTGTACAATACAAGTAGCTCTTTGCAAGTTATGTACAGTAGTCTGGGACCCTGTTAAGTGAGAGAAAAATAAGCTTAAGTGTAGAATTCAGCCACATGTTTATGCTAAGGAATGACTGATATCAGTAAGTTTTAACAGTACCATGTCAGAAACAGATATCCACAGTGCCACTTTCTGTCACCCCTTGTCTTTTGTGTTGAGGAATACAATTCCTTTGGATTTTCCGACATGTCTAGCACAGTGTACAAATGGCAGCATGGGACTGAAGGCATCACTGACCTGTTTGGGAAAAATAATGCTTCGGAATTCCACCTCTCCTCTGCCAGTTTTATTTTTGTGCCTTACTTATTATTGATGTACCTTATAGACCTCACATTACACTGACCTATTTTGTTTCTAAATACTTTTTCTAAATTCTTCCTTCTGAATTTTTCTTGTGCACCTTTCACAGTGTAAATATTTTGGTTTCAGACCTATAGTCTGCAAATTCATTGTGAAAAAAACATAAATGTATATATTTTAACATACGGTATGGTTTGCATCGTTTTGGGAGAGAAATGTGAAAAAACAGGACTGTAGAATCTAAGATCCTTTATCAACCTTTGTTACATGATGAATATCTTTTCAATACCTTTGATTGCAGTGGTCACATCTCTGCATTTCCACCCAGTCTTCTGACAGCCAAAATATTTTTCTTTTTATTCCAGTGTAGATGGCATGTCTCTTGCTGTTGTAGACTAAAAATGGAATGTAAATGAGATGCATGTCAACAAGAAACACTTTTGCATGCAGAGAGCTTTTTTTGTCAAGTCAAAGAGCTGACAATTATAACACTTGACAATTGGTTATGCAACAGATTTCTGTGACTTGCATGACATGTTTCATAATTAACCCAATTAAGAAATTTACTCTTGAGAGTTAACATGTCCCCATTCTGTGCGATTCCTACAGCTTACTGTCTATGAATGAATTTATAGTATATTTTAGGTGAAGTTTATTGAAAACCCAATGGTTGCTACAACATTGAGTTGATGTCTTTATATCTCCTGTCCAAAATCAAATAAAAGTGAAACAGCACAAATATTCTGGGATGTGATTGAAGTGTTGTGTTACTTTTACATAATTTTTCCTTTGTTGTTATATGGAAGCTCTGATGTAATGGCGTAATTCTTTACACAATATTTGGTTTTTCATCAATTTACTGTACAAAGTCATGTGTGTGATGTGCTTAAAATATAGTACATTTACAGTACTAAGTGTAAGTGATTTGCGTTAATCTGATTGGTCTGCTTTGAGATGGATTTCAATTTATTAATGTTTCAGTTTTGTCTCCTTTTTATTTTTTCTTTGTCAGTTTCACAAACATCACTGCTCTTGTTCTGAGTGCCTGTAAAAAGGTCCTTGTTAGTTGCATGAACAGCATCCTTCACTTCTCTGAAATCAATTGGAAGAGTACCCTCCCTATTCTACCTCAACCTAGTGATGTAGAATGTAGATTTTCTTATGCTTAAATTGTTCATTGCTGAGCAACATTTTTTTTTCTAAAACAATAGACATAGATAACGTACTTCATAGATACTTCATTGTCCACTACTGTGGAAAGTTGTCTTTGGCTTTTCCCATAAAAGTACAAAACACACAAGAAAAACATTAACGTTCAATGAAATTACATAAAAAACATGAAATGACAACATTACTCACATGTTGTTATATCAGATCAGCCAGGGTGTCTTTATTGTGCTGTGCACAAGTGGCTCCTGGGACTGTCCAAGTGTCTGCTAATAATCAGTGAGAGCCTCATCACTCCTGCAGTCTGGAGTTGATTAATAACGGGCAGTTTGAAACAACTGCTTTGAAAAGACAGGGATATATAAAAGAGAAAATAATTATTGATTTAAAATGTATATATAAAAAGAAAAAGTGATGAACGCTACTGCTTGAATGTTGTACTACTAGTAGTACTACTGATATGGAACAAGTAATAGGTTTATTCTATGCTGAAAAAAAGAAAAAAGAGAACACAACGTTTCGGCCGTGGAGCCTTCTTCAGGTGTGAGCGATGTGAACGTGATCTACAAAAGCAAGACTCTCTTCAAAGACAACCCCAAAATTCAACCCTCACACCTGAAAAAGGCTCCACAACCAAAATGTTGTGTTCTCTTTCTTCTTTTTTTCAGCATGGAATAAACCTATTACTTGTTCCTTTGCAGCCTACGCATGCTGACGCAGCTACCCACCTGAAGTACTACTAATATACTGTATTTTTCATGTACGCCTAGCACATACTGTACAGTATAGCATTTCTTTTCTCAATAAATTATCTCAACACGCTACATAATAAAACAAAGGAGACAGGTAATGTATACCAATGCTGTAAAGCATTTTCTATTATATTCTGTAATCCAAAGGAAACTAGTGCAAGGAAAGTAAAACAGGTGATATTTACAGTAATTCTGATTAAAATATAATCAGCTCAGTCCTAAATATGCTGAAACTTATGAATGTTTGTGGGTGCACCAGCAAAAACTGCATTACAATAGTTAAGCCTAGATGACATGACCGTGCATAAGATTTTCTGTATCAGACTGGTAGACCTGAATATGGATATGAGCAATGTGAACATGATCTACAAAAGCAAGACTCTCTTCAAAGACGACCCCAAAATTCGTCATCTGACTTCCTGGACTGATTCCAGAACCAGTTGTTTGTAGTCAAACTAAAGGTTATATATTTCTGTAGATGAAAGGAGGGCCCCTCAACATACAGTAGCTTTAGTCTTGTCAGACTTTAGTGTAGTAAGGACACGGTTCCTAACATTATTTAAGCAGTTTAGTTTTTCATGCAATCATCAATATTTGATATGAAATGAAAGCATAGAAATGAAAACTGACGCCACCAGATGATTATTACCCATAACAAAAGCTGTTTCTGCACTATGCATGTATACGATGGAGTGTATCTCCATCTAAATAAAAAATGATGGCCATGAGATTTCATGGTGTGATTATGGTAGTTGTACAGAGATATATACTTATGGCTTCACATTTTAATACCCACATTGGTGAAACAAACAAAAAAAGTTATTTCACTTTAAACAAGTTTATTCATGTTTATAATGTATCTCTTCTTTCTTTCAGCTCTCTTTAATTTAATTCCCGTTGGACTGCGAGTGGTAGCAATCCAGGGAGTGAAAGCTGGTCTCTATGTTGCGATGAATGGGGAGGGATTCCTCTACAGCTCGGTAAGATGATGATCTCTCATTTTCATTGAACTGGTTACAGGTGACTTCATGCTAACTGAATACTGAATGTAACTTAGATCTAAGATGCTGGCTGAGATAACAGTAAATCATACCTTTGTTTAAAAGCTATTTTGCTGAAAGAAATTTGTAGGCCAGGAGATAATGATATTTGCAGACCGTTCTATGATTTAGCACTTAATGAAAGTGATGACCATTTACAGTACTGCATACAGTATAAGCATTCCTGTTATACAACACACAGCACAGGAAGAAGGACATTGATCCCTATACCAATATAAACTATTTTCAATGAAACAGAAAGTGAGCAATTTGTACAAGACACACTCCCCCTGAAAAAACAATATACTGTATGTATTTTCTAAAAAGTTAAGCTTGCAGGCCTGCTTGTCAATTTTAAATTATTATGCTTACTGCCGATTTACCAAGTCTATTCTTGAATTTCAGTCTCTTTGCAAATTGACATTGTTCTCCTGAAATGCACTGAAGCTTTGACATCTGGAGGCATAGACGAGCTCATGTACAAACAGACGAAAGAGCCTCTTATCTGCAGACCAAGCTCATTAAACATCAGTGGAAAAGAAAGAAAGTTCAAACTTGCAAACTCCCCTGAAGTTAATTTTTAGAAGTATCAGCAATGAACAGCCCCCCTGCAGTTCTGGGTCTTTTGGGAGACACCGCATTTGATTAATTAATGTAAATTGGAAGTACTGTACTCCCACACTTCTATGTAGACAGGTAGATGTCAAGTCTAATTACCACTGCTTGTTAGGCTGAAGAATATCTCCAGTTCTAAAATGTGTGACTCAGGACAAGAGCAGTCCACATTCTGAGTGGGCATAAGAACTCTCCTGCTATCTACAGCTGGTTTCTGACAATTCGTAAACATCGGATTTATGGATATACTCACACCTCTTGATAAAAAAAAACATTCACATGATATCGTTTTAACAAAATATTGTTGTGTTTTTTATACAAAGTGGCTGTTGGGTGTTTGGCTTCCTGCTTCTTTTCACTCTTTAGTTTCAAATCTAAGGTCTTAGTAAGAGGATCATGCATATTAAAACAGTGCTGGGAGAGTGCCGAATATTTCATAGTGTTGCATAACAACAACACTGATCACAAATGGTAGTCTGAAATCTATCCAATCCTATGATATAATAGACTTGCCTTGTGGTATGTGTGTTTACAGTATGTCTACATTCACATATACAGTATACTAATGTGAAAGTGCACCTTGTGAATTTAGCATATTTTCTGTACCTTGTCATGGTTTTACCTTACTTTCTTCAGTTTTCTATGGGAATGACATGGCCCTACTGTTACTGTAAAACTACCATGCAAATTTCCCCTTGGCCAGCCCACACAGTGGTAGAGGAGCTCGGTTGGTAATGTATTGCCGCATTGCCCTTATTACAGTGTTCAGCCCTCTCTGACCCAAACTCAGCACCCTCTCTCCCCAGTCGGTTATCTCACTCAAGATAACCTCCGTCTTGCACGGACATTGACTGTGCTCAGACTTTCTATTTTTTAGGATTATATATTAATATTCATAAAGAATGCATATTTTTTATGCATTCTTTATGAATATTAATTTCATATTAAAGTTTAATAAGGTTTGAATGCTAAGGAGGTAACTGAACTTTAGCCTCGTGAAAGAAGGGTGTTCATTCCATCATTAGGATGGATTGCAAGACCACATGATTATGGCAGTAGTTAATGTTGTATCATCTGCTTGTAGTGTACATTGTGTCCGTATACTCTAGATGGATGGTTGGTTGATAGAAAAAGCTGTTTGCTGCTTTGGGTAGCCTTGGTGGGCCTGTAGGTGGAACTCTTCCCTCTTGACAGTGTCTCATTGTGGTGAGGTGGGATGCTGTGTTCCCGGAGGTGCCTTCCCTCAGATGATCATTTTCACTTAAAATCTTGCCTACTTGATCATTAGAAATCCCATGACTTTTTTTGTGTAAAAGTAGGGAATTTAATTGCAGGATCCTCACTAGATTTCACTCTGGGCTTGAACTATCTGAACTACCGAAAGTTCACATCTCCTCCTTGTCAAAACACTTTTTAAGTGCTTTGGAATCCTTCAGTTTGAAAAACACTGCAAGGACTTTTACAACAAGGATGTAAAGAACATATTTTCAGCAACAGATTGAGACCAGATGGTTTTCATTTTACAAGTCCATGCATTATGAGGTAAAGTATTGTATATTTATTTAGAATATCTTTTTTTTCATTTTAGTTTCTCAAAATTAATACGCTTAGGAAATCAGTAGTGAGTGCACGAGGAGAAGCATCAGTTCTTTTGCTCATTCAACTGGGATTGATGTCTTTTTCATGATTTTGAAATCATGAGTTTGAAACTGAAACATTTTCATTTTTCTGGAAAGTGGATTTAATAGAAGCAACCACCTTCACTGCTAAAATGACTCCTTACATACTCTAACTGCACTACGAGGGTTCCTTGCTTTCTGCCAGATGCAGGTAATGCCTATTGTATTAGGCAGAGTATGCCTCCTTAAATCTTTCCCCTTGCTGTCTAATGTATTTCTATTAAGTTAACAATTTATGTAGTACTGGCACCATTTAAAGGTATTTCATTTTAGGAACATGTTCATTTAAATTCAAATTCCAATCAGTCATGTCAAAAAGTAAACGTTTAACTCAAGATCAAACTTGACAAAACCCACAGAGGAGCCAAAGCAGTCCAAAAGCATTGCCCTGAGCCACTGGGACACACAACGTGAGCAGCATTATGTTCTTGGATGTCTTAATTTCACCTAACCAAACACATTTCTGGAAATGTGCTCTGAAAAAAACAAATTCCCTGTGCGATCACTTTGGTTTTTCTTACATAACAGCATCTGCTGTACTAAAGGTTCAGCCTTAATCCCAATAATGGGACGAAAATAGAATTGCATTTTAAATAAGTCCTTTTGTAAAAATTAAACACTGTTTATCACTTTTTTGAGAATCACTGAAAATAACAAAAAGTGCCCTGTATATACAGAACCTCATACTGTATATCCCTTACTGTATACTGTATACCTATATGGTATATCCCTTATATACCCCTTTTTTCACAAATGCAGATTTGCTGAAAGCATGGGGAAAAACTAATTAATGTGCATATTACTGAGATTAACTTTCCACCTGTGAAAGGTTATTTGAAATGTCTTTATTTGTAAAGATTTACCCCAGTGAGCTTTAAATACTCACTGAAAATGCACTTCTCAGGTAGTCTTATTATAACTTTGATTGGAGCCTAAGATGCATTTCATGTTTTTGTTGTGGCCTGTTTGCTGAGTAAACATACAGTAACAGTGGCCAGTACTCATTTGAAAGCCTATAGAGCTTGATGAAATTCATATGAGTGCCTCAATCTTTATGGATGAATCAAACCTGAGAATGAAACTGAAGTGATTTGGTATTGAGAGTGAGCTGTAGTCTATACAGCTCTCACAGAGTGATGCTTTACATTATTATACAGCAAATTAGATCTGCATGTTCCTAAGAAGAGATCATACTGTCAATAATATAAGCAACTTGGAGAGAGGAATGCTGAAACTAAAATGGAAAGTACAGTAATCATGTTGAAGTAATGTTTTCAAGTCATCAAGACAGAGTGAGAATTGTAGAATTAAGAGTATCACTGTTTCCATAACACCACTGCTTTTTTTGCATACAAAGTTTTCAATTACAAGGACAAAAAAGGTTTCAAATGAGAGGAAACCTTTCAGACTATCATATTTGTTCTGTAGCCAAGATAGTCTATAATTTCATCCAGCATTTCTTAAAGGTGCCCAGAGTCTGGGCTTTAACCACCTGATGTGTGTAAACATGTTCATCATACTCTCTTCTCTCTGAATAAAGAGTTGTTTTCTAATTTCTTTCTTAAATGAATTCACCTTATGTTTCCAATTATGACCCTGTGTCCTTCCAGTGTGAAGCATCCCTTAGTTGTACCTTTTTACTGTATATCCTTAAGGTTTAGTGTGCCTGGATCCCATGTCTTCTGTTCTAGACTGAAGAGATTTAGCTCCCTCAACATGTCTGTATATGACAGTACTTGGAGACCAAGAATTATTCTTGTTGCTATTTTTGAACTCTTTCTAAGGTTACAATATATTTTCCATAGGACAGTGACCAAATCTGAAGACGATATTCTAAATAAGGTCTTACTTGTGCATTGTAGAGCTTAAACATAACAAGCCTGGATTTAAATTCCATAGTTTTTGCAATGTACCCCAGCATTTTGTTTGCTTCTCAGTTGCTTTCCCATACTGTCTTGATGAGGACATACAGTACCACAGAAGAATGTGCATAAACACCCAGATCGTCTTGAGTGTAACATCTGTCAGCTCAGAAACACCCATGCTGTGGTGTATGTATAGTATACTGTATGTTCCTACTATTAGTGTGGATCACCTATCAGAGTTGAATTTCCTTTGTCAAGCATCTGCTCACAACATGAGAATATGGTCAGACAGTGACGATGGACTCTCCATGCAACAGGATTATTACTGTCTCTGTAGCAGCACTCCACTGCCCCCTACTGGCACCATGGGCCCTGACCTTCTCATTCTGTGTATCTTTCTAGACTCTAGAATGCAGTCCATCCCAGTAGCCTGAGGGGAAAGAAAGGGTAATCGTAGAATTTAAAGAAAAAACTGTGGAAGCACATTCATCTTTATTATAGAGATGTGAGGACCCAAACGTTAGTTTCCATAAGTTCAAGTCATCATTTATAGTATTTGCATTAAACATTCTCAAAGTTGTTTATCACAGTGGCATGTAAAGCAAAGTAAATCTCAACACTAAACACTGAAGTGTTTGACCTTTGGCACTGTTGGTGGTGGGCTGGTTTTCTTCACTGCAGAATTTAATACTGCAATAATGCTGACTTGTACCATATGCCCCGAAAAGCACTGAAATAATCAAAACTGGTTAGTAGATGAGGTGCATTTACAGTACCACCG